AAAGCTCCAATCGCCCGCCAGCCCAGCCTCGGACCCCTGATTTGCTCGGTTTTTAACTCTCGCTCTTCTTCTGCTGCTCTGTATCAGCCCATATTCCCCCCTTCTCTCAGCCCTCCACGTTTTGATTTAATCGCTCCCGTTCGCATTTCACTTTTGTATTTTCCCCCTCTTCCTCTATCATTACACATTGAGTGCCCCGTGAAATTACAATTGTACATTTTCTGCTCAGCAACCCATTGGTAGCAGAGGGGGGGGGGAGAGAGGAGAGGGGGAAGAGGTCTAAATAATGGCCGAATTAGCCCTACTGGACAGTTTCAGATGTAACACTCTGTAATAATTATATTGCAGGCTGGATTAGGATGCTATTATCATAATCTGGACGTTTACAATTATCCGTAATTTGCAAAGATGCGCCAGGTCTTGATTACAGCGGGTTTTTTTTTTTTATCAAGCTAACCATCACTAAACAGTGACAGTAATAACAGCTAATTTTGCTGGCAATATAAGAGGTGCTGGGGTGTGCAAACAATTTCACACCTGGATCTGCTCAGTCAACCAAGAATCTAGAGAAAGAGCTTCTGCCCTGAAACACAGGGAAAAAATATATATCTTCCACTGCTTCTTTTCACTCTAGATTTCCTTAGACTCTCATCTCTGCCTAACAGGTTTGCACGGGGGTAAGTTGTTTGTCTCGATTGGGTGAGGTTTCTTGGGATTTTAAAGCCTTCTTTGGACTTCGCATGATTCCTTCAGCTTTTTCCCCATTATACAGAAACGATGGTTATTGTTCTTTTTTAAAAAGAAAAAGAAAGAAAAGAGTAGTTATTTAGCAGCCCTATGGCTGCTCCTTTCTCCGAAGTAGACCTTACCGAGTCAAGTGAGGACAAGGAGCATTTCTCTGTGGTTTGTTTGCCCGCCTGCCTTCCTCCCTGATTGGGACTTTAGGAGATCAAGCTGGGTGCCTCCGGAAGGCAGCCTTCTGCCGGCCGCTCCGCTGACTCGACAATGCGAGCTCCACGATTCACGTGGTGTTCAGAACGAGTGGCTGTGTTCCCACGACCCACTGAAGCCCGAACCAGCCAACCACACTTGAGACTAGGGCCATGAGAATCCAGCCTGCGTGGTGAGTTGATGGTTCAGCGAGTCGTGCGAATGCAGGCGATTGGGTTAATTGAGTAAACCCCGGTTCATTCCTGCCAGCGCAGTCAATATGGATTTGTGGGGGGAGGGAAGGCGAGTTTTGGGGAGAGGAATGAGACGCCTCAAAACGGACAAGAGGAGGCCACTATGATTTCGGTAGCAAGGGAGAGCCGTTTCCTCAGGAGCTGCCAGTTCTCTAACAGTTCTATGAAGGTTTATATTCCTGATCCGCATTGCCAGCCCCAATCCCGAGTAGCCCCACTGAAAAAGATCGAATCCTCCGAGAGCCTGCGTGTGTGTGTGTGTGTGTGTGTGTGCGTAGGTGCACGCGCGCGCGACTGTGTATGGAGTATGTTTACAGCTTTCTCATCGTTTCAATGCTCTGCGAATGTATTTAAGGTAAATCCTACTGGGTTTGGGTTTTTTTTAGGCATCCTTAATATCTGGCTGTAAATTCCACTAGGATTTTACTCCCAGCCAAATGTATTTAGAGACAGGGTGTTGAAAGAGGAGAGAGCTATCATACCGGACCCTCTTTTTTACTTCTTAAATTCTCAATTATCTCCTGCTTTCCCCCAATCCCCATCCCACCCCACCCACTCAGATGCTTTTGAAGATGCTGAAATCCCAATTCCTCTTCTTGAACTGCATTTCCTTTCTACTCCTCGTTTGAGACTTCTGAGTGGGAAGCCGTTGCCCCTTACTCCAGCAGCCTTTTTGCTTGTTGTATTCTTCTCTTGGCCCGAAAACCTTTTCTCCTCTGTTAGACGAAAGTTAAAGGCCTCTTCTTATGGATGAGGTCATCAGGCCAGGTGGCAGAGAATCGGGTTGGTAAAACACGTTCAACAGATTGCAGAAGTCTTTATTGTTGTTGTTGTTGTTGCTGCTGCTGCTGTTGTTATTGGAAAATTCAGTGAATCTGGCTTGGGCAAAATCAGTAGGCCTAGGTCATCTTCCCCTCTCAGCTCCCGCATCCCCGATTTCAGAGGAGATATATTGAATGCTACTAAGGAAACAATTGGTACGCAAGAGCGACCCGGATTCTCCAGGGCAATTTTGCCTTCGATTTCAATGGAAGACCCATTTTTCCCCACCCCCCACCCCAGTTCTCAAGCGCCACTGAACTTACTTCACGACCCTCCCTTCGTATTCAGAAGAATTCTGGATTTAGAAAGGAACTTTGATTCAATCAAGAGAGGCTTCGCCGGATGGGGAGAAGGCTAGAGTGGGATATAAAGAAGCTGCTGATGGACAGCAGGAAAAATTCTGCTCTTGAGAAGCCTTCTATGTTCTAGTCGACTGGCAGGTTTGCCCTACTCTACCATCCCTTTAATGGGTCCCTCGCTCCCCCTCTGGCTCTCCCAGAGTGGCAGTCTGGGAATCCAATGGATGGGTAGAATCTGAACCTCACCGAATTCTTGATGCCAAAGGCCCAGTGCAGAAGGTCCTGTATCCGGTCTTGCTGACCTAAAAAAACAGCCCTTTTATAAAAGAAGCCAATTCTATTGTTCACCCACCCATCACATACACACACACACACACACACACACACACACATTTCTAAAGAGATTTAGTCGGGTGGGGAGCAAAGGCAGGGGAAAGGTGCACATCTTTTTCTTTCATTTCCACCCCACTGGGGGGTGGGGCATGGGAGCTTATGTCTGGCTCCACTGGTTTAAATGAACTAACCTGATATATTACCTAGAATATCCTTATATTTTGGACGAAATAGGTTGCTTCTGACAGTGGAGTGTGGCGCGTTAGGGCTGGGGGTGGGGTGTTACTCGTGCATGGGTCAATCAGAAACCAGTTGAGGTGAAATAAACCAACAATGTTGCATGAAACCAGTGAAAGGCCGGGGTGCAGAGCGTTATAAGTCTTATAAGCAGGGAGTGATTTCCTAATTTCATTAGCATGAGATTTGCGTCTTGCATCATCTTGATCCCATAGTTATATTTATCTAACACTGAGGCCTATCCATGACAGGGGTAGCGTGCTGTGAAACCTCTCTTCCCCGGTTCGTGGCTTTGCTTCCCCATTTTCTCTGTGGCTCATCTGGTTTTCAAGATTATTCTTCATCAGGAAAACTTGGGGGACGGGATAGCTGGCTCATCTATGACAGGCGTGGATACCCTGGATTTAAATGCTCAATAGCTTTTGCCCCCTAACACAAATCAGAACCAGTCAGTGAACCCCACAACCAGCTGTACCTCAGAATTCTCTTCCATTCTTCCTAGCATTATAATTTTGGTTAATTTTCAATTTTAGGTCCTATGTCTCTGCAATTTGTGTATGAATAACAGAATAATTTCCCTCTTTTGTTTCGCCTTTCCTGTTCCTGAATCTAAATAAAGATGGCTTTTTAGTATTAAAAGTGGAAGAAAATTACAGGTAATTATCTTTGACGGTAAAAACGCTGTAATCAGCGGGCTACATGAAAAATTACTCTAATTATGGCTGCATTTAAGAGAATGGGGAAAAAAACCTTCTTATGGATAAAAACCTTAAATTGTCCCCAATGTCTGCTTCAAATTGGATGGCACTGCAGCTGGGGGCTTTGTTCACAATTGATCCTGGGGAGAGCTGAACCCAAAGTTTCACAGTAGGCACGGGGAGGGGGAGAAAAAAAAGAAAAGAAAAACATTTTTCCCCCTCCAAATGTAACAATGCGAATGGTAGAAAATGACAAGACTTGATCGGTTTTAAGCCATTCTGAAGACTGACTGAGCGTGGAAGTTACTCAACAAAAAACCGGCGCTGGTATATTGGTAAGTAGTCTTGGCTTTTGTGTCTAATTATAGTGACTGTCCTTTTGCACAACTGTATGTAGCTGTCATTATATTCAGCACTCCGAGAATCTCCATTGACTTCTGATAAATGGCTCAGTGGTTTCAAGGTTCATAATTTGAAGGATGCCCAGGGCTCTAGCCATTAATTCTCTCAGTATGGGGCATCCTGCTTGTGTGACGAAAGGGGCTTTTCATGATGGATGATTTCTCGCTTTGGCACCACCTCGCAAGGATATCATTCGCGGCAGCCCTTTGCCTGGAGAAGCCGAGAGCGCTCTGCCAGACCCGAAGAACCGGAGGCAGCCTATATCTGTCTGTCCGAGGAACGACCGGCCACAGGGCCACCCCGCTCCGCTCACCAAGACAGCCGATTTTGGAGTGCGAGTTTGGGGCGGGGGGGGCGAAAGGGGAGAACCAGTAAGAACTGCCGAAAGTCCTGAGACGGGTGACCCCTCATATCGACAAAGGTGCGCGGCTCCAGGTAGTTTACAGGGAGAGAATTAAGTCCAACCCAAGGCTTTCCTGAAAGATAATCTGGATTGGGAGGGTCGCATCGCCTTAAATCCACCCTCGGTCGATTCAGACAGGCTTCTCTATAGGGAACAATCTTCACCGGTTAGAGTGGGAAGATAGGAAGGTCGGGCGGTCTCTAAGGAGACACGATTTTATGACTGGTTGGTAAGCGTGGGAATGCTTGTGTGTATCTGCCTTCCCACTGATCGGCACCTGCTGAGGGAGAAACTTCCAAAGAGACCTTCTCGTCCCTTAGACTTCTGGTGCTGCTCCGCTCCTGGTGTGGGGGAATTGTGCAAAAAGCTACTCTGGAGAAGTCCAGTTAAGCCCAGGATGTGGATTGGGAAGCAGCGGTTTTAAACAGGCAACCTCGGAGGTGTAAAGCTCCAGTAGGAGTCATAAACAGTCCATCTATACTACGGAAATGGGAGTGGGGCGGTGGGGGTGGCTGGGTTGGTAGGACGGGTTGTAATATTTGGCTCTCTGAATAACCGGGAGGATGGGAAGCCGAAAGAGAAAGAAACTTGTCAACGCACAGAACTAAAAGCAGGACTCTCGCACATTTTGTGGCTTTTTACTCTATATATGAAAGGAGGAGACAAAACATACAAAGATATATATATATACAACTAAAATTCAACAATATGTACAACGCGACTGTCGGCAGCTGAAAAACAACGCAGAAGTGTATGGGAAGTGATTGTGGTCGGAATTTTTAGCCTTTGAGGCAGGGCAATTTTTTGTTATTTTCCTTGATTCTTCCTCCCTCTCTCCCCCGGACGGAATCCATTGGAAAGGATCCCTCCTGGAAGCCCCTTTAGAATAAATAAAGGTGACGCAAATGCAGAGCTCTAGTTGGTTGCAATGGGGCATGCGCAAAAGAACTTCTGGTCATTTCCAGGTGCTTTAAATTCGTTTAGACTGGCTTATTGACTATAGGAGGAAAAGAAGGCGGGGGAGAGATTGGGAAAGAAAAGATTACCAGTTCCGACCGACCAAGATTCACGATTGTGCTGGCCTGGGGGTGGGAGGGGGAGGTACAAAATATTAAGCCAGATTTTTTTCCCCTCTCCTCACTCCCCCACCCGCACCCTCCTCCCTGGATGGCATTTCGTTCTTCGTAAAGAAAAAAAAAATACCTCCCCGCTATCCATTTTGTTTTGTTAATTTGGGTTTGGTGAATAAAAATAGGGTAGCTTTGTTAGCTTTTTTCATTCCACAGGATCTTTTTTTAAGTTGCTGCGCGGTGGACTAGTGGGAAAAGGCTGTAATTGGGGTTTTTGTTTTTTTGTTTTTTGTTTTGCTCTGACTTGTACTCCCAATAAGGCTTGGTGCCTTTGAATCCCCAACAAAATATCCCAAAGAGAGCATCTGACGTGGGTCGCGACGCAAATGGTTTCTCTCAGCTCAAGATCAATTGCTGAGGTTAAAGGCGAGGGGAAGGCAGAACCGCCCCAGTCCGTCTTCCTTGCCACGCGCTCCCAATTCACCCCAAGACCCACGAGCTGGCCCCGTCGGCCAAGCCCAGCGGTTGTTCTTGGACCGATCACATCATTTGTGGTCTCTGCATAGTGTCTTGATGTGGAGAGGAGTACCAGTGAGAATAGCCAGGCATGTAGCTGTTGGGAGGCATGTTGACTCCTTTGGCAGAGGCTGAAACGTCCCAGACCGGAGGCAGACCTGGAGAACGCGGCGAGAGGGTAGCCGAGCCGGGCAGGGGGTCAGTCTCGTGAGGGTTGCCGCCTTGCTTCAGCAGTTTCTTAAACTTGGAACGCTTGTTCTGGAACCAGATTTTCACCTGCAATCAAAAGGCAGAAGTCATCGAAATGCCTATAGAACAGCAGCTTAAGAGCAGCCAGGGGAGGGAAGAGGACAAAGGAAAGTCTCTTTGAAATTTCCTTTCTTCCCTCCCTTCTTTATATCTGGAGCAATATATATCAGCCCAACTACCCTGAATCATAAAGTCCAATATCCTCCCCTCCCCCTCCCCTCCCCATCCTTCATTCTCATTGCTGTAGTTACCTGCAACAAAGAGCCTTAGGTAACCGAGTATTACATTTTATTTTACTGTATTTATTTTAAAGGGCCTTTTTCTTCTATGAGACCATTGCAGTGCACTCATTCATTCTGCTTGCTTATTTTGTAGGCAGCCATTGAAAGCATCTACGCAGGTACATAAGCTATAGACGTGCACAGCTGTGATAGTCATCGGTATTCTATGCTGCATAATTAAAAACATGCAACACTCGTTTTGAATAAGAGAAGAAGGGAGAGAATGCTCAGGGTTGGGGGGTTTTTTTGGTTTTTTTTTTTTTTTGGTTTTTTGTTTTTGTATTCAACAAAAGTGATAATCTACAATCTTGATTCGCATTTTAGTGGCTTCCCATCTCAAATCCCCATCCTCCAGCACCTAGAACTGCCCTTAGCAGACTTTTTCACCTGGACTGGTGCAGCTGGTTCTTCACTTACAGTGGGATGAGTGTGCAGTCCTAGAAACACATACTCAGCGGTTTCACTGGTCAGCTGGATCTACTCCTGAATAAATCTGCTTACGAAGGGGGTGCCACTTGGACTTGAAAGAGCTTTTAAGATCAGGCTCTAAAATGACTCTGGCAGCTGACTGGCTTCAGGGGGCCTAAATTGGCTTAAATCACAAATATGTCAGTATAGTTGGAAGTCCAGCTTGGCTTATAAAAAAGTTACAGGAGAATCAAAAACAGCCCCTGTGCAGCAGGTCCTTTGGTGGTCAGCAGGAAAGAGCTAGAAAAATGAGCCGATTTGAAGTTTAAGTGGAGATCGCTGGCTTGATTTGAGCGCTGTTAAAAAAAAAATCTAAGATATGGGATAAGGGAGGAACTAAAAAACGTTAGAGAGACTTTAAAAGAAGAATATAATACATGGACAACTGCAAAGTGTGTGTTATTTCAAATGGGGTAGTTGTTGGAACTCCCAGGAGTAAAACTAACAATATCCCTCTTTTCTCTGATAATATTAATTTTCTTAGTATATTTTAATCTGTATGACAGAATACAAGATCCTGTTCTACCTGGTCGCAAAGTTCATGCTTATTACCTTAAGACATTAAATTCTCTGAATTTAATTCTCTGTTTGACTTACATTCTCAACTGGAAGCCCTGAGCAGGTATATGATTGATTCTCCCACCTTCCTGCCCAAAATGCAAATGCCACCAAAACTTTTTTTTTTTAATCGAAACTTTTCTTGCCATCCGGGAATACAATTAATTGCTGTATTTCTCTTCCAAGTCAATAATACTCCATGTGTCATTCAGGCTTAAATTCGCAGAGAAACCAAGAACACATCAACCACATTTAACTGTAGCTTAACTTGTTCTAATTTTGTACACGCTTCCCTTTGATCCTCAGCCTCTATCAGCACCTTTTGTACATTTAGCCTAAGGGCACCCACTGGATTCTAGTTACTCATCCAGGATAATTTACTATTGAATATCACTAAAGTAGGTGTGTTTTATATGGGCCCAGAGGCTCTCCAGCATATCCACTACCTTTCTACTATCTCAAACTACAACGGAGGGGCTGCTCTGCTCTTCCTACATCTAATATTTCATATATAGATATATATATATCTCTAAATCACACTCTTAAGTTTTCCATCTTAGTGAGTATTTTGATTATAATAAAGTAGATAAACACCCACATTCTGAGCTGGTGGATATGCCTTTTTCTAAATACACTGTTTGCCTTGATCAGAGGCAAATGAAAAGTAGAGAGATAACTGAACTAGACCTGGATTGCCAAATATCTTCTATACAGGTAACTGATAGCTCACCAATACACTTTAGATCATGTTTAGGTGGTCCGCTCTTCTCCAGTTTCTATTCTTAGTCCAAGGAAATTATACATTTAAAAATATATATATATATATATCTCATTTCTACTACCACCATCGTGTCAGTCCTGACCTCATCTCCTAAAGGTTGCCTAGACCTGGTCTTTCCTGGGAATTACCTGTGTCTGAGTAAGTCCTAATGAAGCCGCCAGCTCTGCTCTCTCTGGAAGTGCCAGGTATTGGGTCTGCTGGAAGCGGTGGTTTAATGCCTGCAGCTGCAGACTTGAGTAAATGGTTCGAGGTTTCCGGATCTTTTTCCCTTTCCCATTAAATCGAATCTCCCCATTTTCAATCACTGTGGTTTTTTGTTGATCTGCAATCAAAACGGAAAGTGCATTGGAAAGGAAGAGGGGCAGCTAAAGACACCTCATGCCTAGTTTAGGGTGCTGTTCATGCTTGGAGGGGAGATTAATAGTATCTAGTGATAAAACTGCCCCAAGATCATTGCTAAAACTGTATAAGCATTAGGGTGAGGGCAGGTAAATAAGGCAAGCAGACCATCGAACACCCTTTTTAGTGGTGGATTCACTTTTACCTGCAAAATGACCCTACTGACTTTCCTGACATTTCTGCAGGCAAAACTTATTACTTAATGATATTTAATAAAGTGCGTAGAGATTTTTTTCCCTCAAGTAAATAAATACTGCTACTTGTGGGAATAATCCAGATGTCTCCATTCCAGGACAAATTCAAGAATTGCAATAGGAAAATAATTTTAACGAAACACCCATTTTAAATTAGTTTATAATTACTGTGGTTATCCAAATACCCCTCTAAATCACATCTTTTATTTTGAATTAGCAGAAATAAACACATATTATCCGAACATTTCCTTTTACATGGTTATCCTCATTTTATACCAACGCAGGTTAATTTATTTCTCTCTCAGTGAATAAATTCAGAGAAATTTCCAGAATTGTTTGGACAGATAACCACAGTCAAATATATGAAGGAACCCTTTCATATTGACACTATTGCTGATTTAGCCACTTTTATTGGTTTGTTAAAATATTTATTAGAGATCAGCTGAGTAGAAAGATGGATTAAAATACATATATAATTTGAAATTTTACAAGGTTTTACAAGGCTCAGGACACATCCTCCGTCTGCTACAAGGCACTTAAGAGGACACTGAAGTCATTTGTGTCTGACACTCTCTAATCTTCCTTCCTTCCTTCCTTTTCCTTCCTTTTCTTTCCTTCCTTCTCTTTCCTTCCTTCCTTTTCCTTCCTTCCTTCCTTTGTTTTCCTTCCTTCCTCCCTTCCTTTTCCTTCCTTCCTTCCTTTTCCTTCCTTCCTTTTCCTTCCTTCCTTCCTTCCTTCCTTCCTTCCTTCCTTCCTTCCTTTTCCTTCCTTCCTTCCTTCCTTCCTTCCTTCCTTCCTTCCTTCCTTCCTTCCTTCCTTCCTTCCTGGAACTTCTGTAGCTTCTGCCTTTGGCTGAGGAGGAATTCGTTTTCATAGAGAGCCTGTCACTTTTGTGCCCATTGTTGTAGCAGAAGGCAAAGGGCCCACTGCTCTTTCTAAAATAATTCTGTGGGTATAGGCCGCCGCCCGGAAAGGATACCCGTGGGCTAAACAGACATTCATTAAAAAATAATAATAAAAACCCAAACAAACAACTTATAATTTTGAACTGCGGAAGGTCAGTCTGTTTCCTAGTGAATGGTTTGTAAGCAATACAACTTGCACTCCACAGTCTATCGGGAGCCTTCAAGTGCAAGACAATGCTTGCAGAACCCACAGAAAACAAAACCCGCATTCCCCTGAACCGGAATTCTAGTTCTCTTATAGCACTCGCGTGGATCTGAAGAACGTCAGGGAGCTGCCGATGCGATTCGTGCTGGTGTAAGAAAAGAAGTCAGGATAGTGGGAGGGGGAGCTGCTAATGGCACGCACAGTTACTTAAGAATAGAGTAAGTTTCACCGAACTGCTTGCGACTCCCTTCCCGGAGAAATAGGCTCCGGATCGGGCAGAGAAAATATCATTTCAAAGAGACCTGCAGCGCGAAAGGGGGTGCGGGGAGCCGGGCAGTCTTCATCCACAAACGGTGGAATTAGAAGCCAGGTCCTGACCATTGCCTGGATACTCACTTGTCAGGAAACGTGCATCGGAACGAAGGGCAAGGGAAGACGAGTGAAAAGAAAGAGGCGAGACAAGGTGCAAAAGAGAGAAGACAGAAGGAAACGCGTTGCAGGCCAGAAGAAAGCTGAAAGAAGGAATAGGGCAGCCGGAAAGTGGGAAGAACAGGAAGAGAGAGGAAAGGACGGGAAAAGGGACAAAAGGAAGGAAGGGAAGAAAGGAAGAAGGGAAGGAAGGAAGGAAGAAGAGAAGGAAGGAAGGAAGGAAGAAGGAAAGGAAGAAAGAAGGAAGAACGGAAGGAAGGAAGGAAGAAGAGAAGGAAGGAAGGAAGGAAGAAGGAAAGGAAGAAAGAAGGAAAGGAAGGAAGGAAGGAAGGAAGGAAGGAAGGAAGGAAGGAAGAAGAGAAGGAAGGAAGGAAGGAAGAAGGAAAGGAAGGAAGGAAGGAAGGAAGGAAGGAAGGAAGGAAGGAAGGAAGGAAGGAAGGAAGGAAGACCAGCCACACCGGGCAGGCGGCCGAGGCGCGGGAGGCCTTGGCTGAGATCCGCGCGCGCTTCAGTGTCACCCACCTGCGTCGTCCGGCCGCGTCTGGGTGCCCGTGCCGCTCCCGCTCCCGCTCCCGCCGCCGCTCCCGCCGCCGCCGCCGCCGCCGTGGTAAGACTGGAGGTAAGGGCTGTGCTGCGAGTGGCTCACGTAGGGATAGGCGGCCGCGGCTGCGGCGGCCGCGGCGGCGAGCGAGCGGTGACTGTAGGAGTTGGCGCCGGCCGGGCCGGCCGCGTAAGGCGCGGCGTGGTGGTGGTGGTGGTGGTGGTGGTGCGGGTGCGGATGTTGGTGGTGCGGGTGCGAATGCGAGGCCGGCGCCGCCGAGTGCAGGCAATGGAGCGGGTAGTGGGCGCCCGCCATGGCCGCCGCCGGCGAGGTCTGCTGTTGCTGCTGCTGCTGCTGCTGCTGCTGCGCTGAGTGTGAGGAGCCGCCGGGCGCCTGTGCCACTGGAGGCGGCGGCGGCGGCGGCGGCGGCGGTTGGGGAGGCTGCTGAGGCGCCGGCGGCGGCGGCGGCGGCTGCTGCCCGAACTCCATGAAGGCAGATTTGGACGAGTCTTGCGCTTCCAGCCCGTCAGCCATCGTAGTCATGGTCATCATCCAAGTTGGGCAGCCAGCGACGAGCGCCTGTGCCCGGCTCGGCGCCCCCTTGCGCTCCCGCCACCTTCGAGGGAGCCTATTAGCCTGCGCCGGGCGGGAATTAGCGCCGGGGCTCGCTCTCTATATTTCCCCCCCTTTCCCTCCTTTTTTCCTTTCTCTCTCTCCCCCCCTTTTGGTGAGTGTGTGTGTATCTTGGGGGGGGGGGGTTGAGGTGGGAGAAAGGAGAGAGCGTGCGAGAGCAATAGGGGGAGAGGGGCCTTGTTAACTGAGGGAGGGGCGGAGGGGAGGCGTGCGCGAGGCGCTGGGGAGGGAGAGAAAGAAGGAGAGGGAGAGGAAGGGAAGCGAGGAAGGAGGGGGCAGGAAGAGAGGGACGCGCTGCCAAGTCCTCTTTCCTGGGGCTTCCCCCCTCTCCTCTCTTGCCCTCCAGCCAGCGACTTGGGGTTTTTCCCCTTCTCTCTCCCTCCGTCGCCCTTGTTCTTTTCTGATTTGGGGGTCTATTTCTACGCCCTTGAACCCGGGTGCCTCTGTGCTTAAAGCTGGTGGAGTTTAAGGCAGAGATTTCTTTTCTTTTCTTTCTTCTGTTTTTTTAAGGTGGATTTATTCTAGTTGAGTTTAGAGGCTTCAGACAAGAAAACGAGGGAAGGAAAACGGAATACAACATGCGCGCGCGCTCGAGCGCACACACCCTCCAAATAAATAAATAAATAAACGCCCAAGTCGAATGGTTTGTCTCCAAAGGGCAGCGCCTCCTCATTGGTCACTCAACCCCTGACGTCACCAAGCCCGGGCACTTCTACTGGTGTCTGCGCCAGCCCACCTTCTGTACAACTTCAAAGCTTTGAGCCAGCTAGAAGCAGCCAGCCAACCAGCCAGCTAACCAACCAATAGTCTCTCTCTCTCTCTCTCTCTGTGTGTGTGTGTGAGTACGCCCGCGCGCGCGCGTGTGTGCGTGCCTGTATGTGGCTGTTTCACCGCACCGCCACCGCAACAAAGCTACGTTCTCAAACAGCACTCTCGCCTAGAAAATCAGGTGCCTATTCAGTAAATATACCATGATTTGCCCTTCCATGCGTCTGCCTGAGTATGTCTGTGTACAGGTACACTTCCTTCCTGAGGTATCACTCTGCCATTCCATGATACCTCACCTTATGCGTGTGGATTACAACCCGCAACAACATAATATGTCCCTCCCAGAAGCAAAGCACAGTGACCCTTAATACAATTAATGTAGCCATTGCACCGTGGTAGCCCTAATTTTACACAAAATTGATAACGTGAAATGGGGTATTTCCATAACAAGTCGTCACGGGAAGCGTTCAATAAAAAGGACCTCAAATGTTGGAGGAATCTCCTTCATCTGCACAATAGCGTTTATATTTAAGCATCTTGATCCGAAGGCGAATCCTTAGAGATCTGCCAGTAATACATTTTCCCCCTATTGAAAACAGAAGCTCCTGTAATACTTTCAAATATATGCAAATGAGACATGCGGTTAGTGGTTTGGCAAATCTTGATTGCAATATAAACTACCCGAGGAAAAGTGCCTTCGCCCTAAGTTTGCCTTTCGATTACAATTCCAGTTGATTTTATTTTATTGTCAACATTGTTAATGATAAAAATAGAGTCACTTCGTAGTTATTTTTACTTTCCGAAAGGAGGCAATTAGACTTCTAATCAGGAATACACACACAAAAAAGAGGGGGAAAATCTCCCATGATTAACTGCACTACTTTGTTCAAATTGCAGCTATAAAATTCAGAACAATTTGCCTGTAATGATTATGGACTGGGTTTATTTTGGGAGGTGAAATAAAAGTGGATATAGCATAAATTATCCTCTAATTATACACCAGTGTCGCCTCAATTATCCTCTTATCAAAATGGTTGTCTAACTGCCGCATTTAGTTTCAATTCTCTCCCATTTTTTCTATAAAAAGAACTTCATACCTTGTTATTATTAATCCATTTATTATTTGCAAGGAGATTTATAGCTGAACAGCCAGGTGGTATTGCCACATCTCTCGCAAAGATGGACTGGGGAAAGACATGAGCTGGGAACCGAGTCTGCACTGGATCTCTGGCGATCTCTTTCGGGACAAGTCAGCCGTTCCCCGGAGTTATTTTGTTCTCCTCTTTGGCTGTGTTTTAATCTGGCGTCCACCAAGGCTAAAAGAATTAGGATCTTTGGCGATTTACAGACGAGCCAGGTAGGAAAAATGGACCATTGGAAAAAGTCAGAGAAAACCGAAGACTGAAGGAAAGCGGGGGCTCTCAATATAGAATATTTCTGAAAAACGGAGAGGAGGAGGAGAACTATTCAGATCCAGAAAATGCATGCTACCACTTTGTAGAGAGATTATTTTTTTCCCCCGGCGTTATAAAGTGCAGCTCTCCCTTTTCTTCCCTCTCGTTCTCTTTTCTGGTCTTACATCTCGCTGACCACCAAAAGCAAGCTCTAAAAGAGCTATACTTTTACACTCTGGTTGTGTAAACAGGGATGTGGTGTGAACTGTGGCTGGCAAAGCAAGGTCCTGACTCGGTTGCAGGGCATTTTGTCCACGGGACAAGCAACGCAGTGTGTCTTTTTCAGAGTATATGGATTCCCCCCCTCTTTTTTTTCTTCCCCCCCCCCCTCTCTCTCCTCCCACTGCTTTTCTTCCTCGCCGTTTAACTCCTCGAGCTTCTGGGGTCGGTTCAGTAACTCTGAATGCAGCTCTGAGTGCCTTGCCTTGTCCTCGCCTTCTTTAACAAGGGATCCACTCTAACTCGGAGAAGGCGGTAACTCGAGCCGTACCTTTACAAATCTACAACTTTTAAAAACGCGCCTACTTATATAGGAGGGAAAAGCGTGAAAGTATAAGGGGGGGCCGGGTTGCAGCGTATTCGGGAAGAGACCTTAAGTACGGTGTCTCCAAGAGTTTCCTAAGATTTTTTATTTGTAGGGTGTAACTAGCGTACAGGTAGATTTGGCAGATTTATTGCTTTATACCCTGAAGCTGCTTGTTAACAAAGATCAGGACAACGGGGCTGTGCAGGTGTCGGGAACTCGCTGCATTTTCCACGCTTTGCCTATAAAAACTCCCGGGAGGGGAACCGGCGCCCGTTTAAGGAACAGGTCGACCTCACTCCTTTTCCCGGTTTCTAATGCCGCTTCTGACATTTGGGGGTGGGGAGCTTTGATTCCTACGGTCCTCTTACCCGGGAATAAATATTACTGAATTCGGTGGCATTCCATTCTGAGAAATTAGACCTCGTTGTAAAATCAGGAATTGGGTATCTGAGAATGTATTGATAAGTGCTCTTCCGCGGAAATAAATAGGAAAAATAATGTATATGGGTGAAGGTGGTTGGAGACGGTCGCACAGGAGAACTGCCAAAGCCAAAAGCTGGTGAAATTAGTTTGCCATTAAATCCTTCTGCTTCCTCCCTCTACTCCTTGTTCTTCTTCTCCATGAAATTCCTATGGGAACTATTTGCTATTTGGATTTGGTATTTATATGACATATATAATTTCTGTTACTTATTTATGCTTACTTCCACAAACATACATTTAAAAACAGTCTTTGTTTTAAAGTATAACTCTCTCTGATATCTTTGTGCATGTCCCCACATATTATCCACAAAGGTCCAAAACATTTTTGGTATAAACATATGCCAGTCTGCCAATTCCATAAGATTAATTGAAGTGAACAGTTCTGTGTATCTAGAAGGCTTGTAAAATATGCTCATGTAATAAAAAGCCTCCCATTTAATTTATATATCTCAATCCCTGTACTTGGGAAAGGATAGCAAAGATAGCACAAAGAAAAACTCACTAATGCATATCAGAGAACAGGTTTTGTGGTGAGATTAGTGTGAAGCTCTTAATGCTTCACTTTTTTCCCTTAACAGCTTTATAGGATGACAGACTACAGACCTGGTCCAACATGATCAATGTGGAATTTTTCATACCAAAATTTGTCTGTTATAGATCAAACCTTTATTTTCTAAATCTAAATCTATTTTCTAAATTATAAAATAGAGACCCCCTTTCTATCTCTTGCTAAGTTATTTTTAAGTCTCCCTCATTTTAAACATCAAAACCAGTTGAACAGCAGAAGTATTATACTGCCAATTTCCACCAATTTAATTAGCCAAATACATCTGATTGGGGCTCTTCGTAGGCTGGGGTTAATGACTCTTAAGTTGGAAAAATGTCATTGTTGGCAGTAAATGTTTATCGAGTTCATTTATTGTGGCACAAGAGTCCTTCTCTTCCCTCTCTTTCCCTCTCTTCCACTGATTTAACCTCTTCAGTTTCCTTACCAACCGTGGTGGTATCTCCAGTTCTGGACTTTCTGTCCATTCAATCCTCTTCCTTCAAGGGGCCTTTCCTTCAGAGAGGCCTATCTAGGAAGAAAGTTCAACTCACTTGTTATTTCTATGGAGGTGAAGCTCTTTTCATTCCTCTTAAAATGCAAGACTCCAGACTTTGATATGAATAGGTGAGATGGAAAGAGTGGAAAAGCCCCATTTTCTCTAAGGTCATCTCCTTCCATTTCTCTGCCTTTAGAAGAAATGCTGCTTCTCATCCCTTTGTTCCACCCTTCCTTCATTTTTTTCCTTTCAGATCTAATAAATGTAAAGGGAGTAAAGCTAGTGGTGGTCTTGCAGCTATTTCTAAACCAGTGATTTGTAGTGTCTTTACAGCTATCCTTGTGGTGATATAAAGCCTTTCTTCATTATTACTAAATCATTACAGTGAGAGCTGAAAGTTACTATAAACCACAAGTGAGTTATGCAAAGAATCTTTTCAGGTGAAGAAAGTCGTTCCTGTCTCACCATATCCTCAGCATAGCAGTTTCCTTTGAAGTATGGGACTCTATTGAAAATTAAACCCATGGAAATTAATTTTAGTGATTTCCAAATACAACCATACACTCCTTATGAAGATAAAAGTCCCATTCAGGATTTTGTTAACTCCTTTCAAAGGCTATTAATTTATTTGGACCAAGAAGTTCTGAGTTTATGAGGAGGTGTCTCATGGAACTATATGAGCCTTCATTTCAGTTAGTGAGACTAGGCTGTGAAGGTTGTTGTTTTTAAAGTATTGTTGTTATTTAAGAACTTAATTTAACAAGGTGAAATAGTAAGACTTAAACTACAAAGAATTACTGAAAGCCAATATTCCTTTCTTTCCTGTCTTACACATTGACTTTGGCCTCTCAGTACTTTGAGTACTCAGTTCAGCCACTTCAATAATGCAAGAAAAAAGTCCGAGTAGGAAGTTCATATTTGATAAAATGAACTCATTTGAAAGGCTGGTTATGATGGAAATTTACTGTACAAAGTATTTTAATTTGAACGAATAACATATGCCCATTTTTAGAAAATGTAATGATTTCAGATTTGATCAGATGGTCAAAATAATAACCTAATGGCCTCTCAAGTTTGAGAATTTGTAGTGATTTTTGAGGAGGCTGGAAAGAGCTGAACACAATAAACCAGTTGTATTGTTGCCTCAATAACAACTGTAACTATCAAGAATCTAGAGTGCACTATTATAAATTTTATTTATAGAAGTCCTCTTAGCCTTTTGTAGAGTCCAAGACTTTAAAAGTTGGAAATAAGTTCTTTTACGATTAGGAGTATGAAAAGCGACCTTGACACAAGCAAGAAGGACTTAGTTACTTTTATCAGCTTGGAACACAAGGTTAATCAATTCATAACCCCTCCACAAAATACTTTACAATTGGGGGGGGAGGGGAAGGAAAATGCTTGCATGCTTATGTACTCTCCTATATAACAGGAATGCCTGACAAGAGGATCTTAAGCCCAGAGTCCAAAACCTTTTGACTAAAGAATTGCGAGGTGCTTGGGGAGGGATGGGGGGGAGACTTTCTCTGAACTGCCTGGAAAGACTAGGATTGAATATTTTGCTTGCAAAGCACTATTGCAACACAAAATTAATGCCTCCCTATTTGGATGAGGTGAGTATCAAATTAGTGCATCTATGCATGTGTAGATACAATTTCTATTTTAATGATGTGGCAAAATTACCCCCATACCTAGAGAGAAAATCCAGTTTAATTTTCAGTTTAAATTTTGCTTCTTATCTTTGCTGCTAGTCTATATTCTTCCCCATGAACATGGTTATCTTTTTCATTTCATAATAATGGCCTTAATTTACTCTATCCTGCCTCAAATAAAAATTCATTTACCGGTAGAATTAAGATAATTAAAGCAGAAGAGGTGGCTTTCTACCTACAGTTGCAAACCAGGGCCTTGTGTTGCTTTCTCAATTTTTCTTCTTAATGTGACGTTTTTGCTGCAGCCAAATCTCTTACCATGGCCAAAACTGTTCAGTGTGAAACTTCTATTGTGGATAGATCACCACCCGTTGACTTCCTTGTGTTTCAAATATTCATGGGCAGAATAAAGCAAGTCGAAATCATTAATCTAGTAGTCTAAGGTTTTAGTAGGAATCTGGCAGAATTTGATTACTGGGATTGCAGAGTATTTCCCATCCAGAGAGCCACCACCAACACGGGGAACTTCAAACAAAAGTTGCCCAATTACTAGCGAGGAAGGAACAAAATTTTATTTGCTCCATATGAAGCATAAAACATGAGGCACAAGTACTCTCCAGCAGATTTGAATCCTTTTCACAAAAGAGATTGTTGTGTGCTCTGTCCAAGGTGCACATTTTTTTTCTTTCACACCTCTACCCCATCATCTCCTTAGTCCTTTATCCTTTGCAAACGGGCCCTCAGCTCCGACCGAGGAGGGTGGGGTTCCAGCTGGGTGTTTTATTGGTTCTGATGCCCTTGCTAGATGCGCGCAGACCTTATACTGACACCTCTGTTTCCTCTTCTTCTCACCTACTCCGATCCTAATCTGAGGGAGATAATAGATTGAAGGGAGGAAATCCTGACAGCCCCCAGCACTTGCAGAGAGGTGGACTTCAGATGCATAAGAACTTCCTAGTCTGTAATGAGGTGGTGATTCCCAAACATTTCTGCTTTTGAAGGAAATCGGCTTGGCAACTGCCGGCCGCCAACACACCATTTAATGATTCCATGGATGCCAATGAAGGCGCCGTTTCTTTAGGAGTCCATCTCCAACCCTCTTTGCTAGAACAAAGGGGGATCGTCTCTCTCCCTCAAGCGCAACCCTCTTCGACAGAGTCCAGCATGTCGAGTCCAAAAACGGGATGCTTCTCCGCTCC